TAACTCTTTGTGGTTACTGAAATGCACAGTCTCCCATTCCCACTGTGCTGTGTCACATGCCTGCTACTTTGATGATGTCTAGCATCCCTGCTCTGGCACTGGTTCTGAGAAGGTTAGTGGCTTTACCTTGCCCATAGATTATTGTAGGGAGCATGTAACCTATATTTCTTCCTTCAGAGGTTACTGATTTTGCTGCTGGTGGCTTTCTGGTGATCTGCAAACACATTCTGCATTTTTGAGTCCTCATTGCTACTTGGTACATTATGTTTATTTGCATTTCATTAAAGTTAATCAACATACTAATAATGTATGATCTATACCTGCTTTATGCTAAAGGATGTGGTTTAAAAAATATTTTTCTTGGCTTAAACCACACTTTGATATCCTGATAACTTCATACTTGGATACAACTCACCTTTAAGCCATCATTGTTCAGTTTCATGTTTTGACATTTGACATACCGGTAAAAGCCTTTATGATAATTTTGACATTGGTGAATCCATATCTGAAAGCAACTAAGATGAGTGCTTAGAAGACAGCCTGTAGGTGTTGATCTTGTTTGAGGAATTTCACACAATTTGGAAAACCTCTCAAAAGAGGACATTAAATGCAAATAAACTAATGTATTTATTTTAAGGACTATCAATCAAAAGATTGATTATCTATCTATTGATTATCTATATATTATATATATATATATATATATTATGTTATATAAATGTTTAAAAGTGAAGAAAATGATTCCTACCTGCTGAGGCTCTCGTGGTGTGGTCAGTTTAACTTTCCTGCTAGAAGCAGTGGTAGTAGTGATTTCCATGATGGACGTAGATGTCTCCGAGCGGTTAGCTGTGGTGCTTGACTGAGGTGTGATAGAGGATGGAGACTCCCCAACAAGCCGCACGCTGCCCTTGATCTTTATATTAGGATCCCCTTCAGCGGCCATGTTGAACACCTTTAACCCATTGTAGTAGAGTCCTGAGAGCTGGCCTTGAAAGGATCCTCTCCGATCTCGCTCCCAGCCCCCAATCTGTATAGTGGTTTGGCTGTTGAAGATTGTAAGCTGTCGCCCTGCGGAAAAATAATGTTACATACATACAGGAACACTGAACTCTAGACTCAACAACTTTCACTAAAACAGGAAAAAATAAACGGACAGAAATACATATTTGCCCAATGGTTAATGAGACCAATAAATTACAAGGTGCTTGGACAAATCCTGGTAATTTATTGTAGTTGAAACAATGATATGACCGTAAGAGAGAAAATAAAGTAAAACTGTGTGGAAAGAAAAAAAAAACAATGCTTTGCTAAAAGGAAATTCTACCTATGTTTATGATAAAAAATAATAATAATGAATATCATTATTATCATTTAAATGTCAAAGATTTACTGATTCTGTTAAAGAAATTAAATTAAGATATCCATTATATATTTCCATAAAAATAGTTATAACAAGCAAAACTTGAAAATAAGTAGCAAATATTTATATTGAGATTATAGCACTTTTTACAAATATGTAATCCTCTATTAAGCCGATCATTTTCTTTTAAAATCCAGCATTTAAAACTAAAAAATACAGAAATTAAACTACGACAGACACTAAGAAAAGGACTCTCCATGCATTTAGACCCAGAAGAGGAATACAACTTAACTATTTACCCTTTTAGCAAATGCAACAAAGGGTAAAAAAAACAAAACAGCTGTCGAGACCACAAAAAAGTTGAAATACAAAATAAACTTTGCAATACAAACAAGAGGAATAAACACCAAAAATCAAACAAAAAAACAATACAAATGATAGGGCTAATACGGGCATATTTTAGGTGACAATATGAATTAGTTATTAAACTGTAAAAACACAGCATGCACTAAGTTTATATTAGATTACAGTGTCTTTATCTAACACCCTATGCATATTTACAAAAGCTGTTAAAGGGACTCAAAATTCTAATGCCAATTAATATTGCAAACTATTTATCATTGCTATCATTTTATCAAGATAAATCAAGCAACATTGTGTAAGCTATTATAATACATGTAAGTGTTTCAAAAACACTTAAACACCTATAGATGGCTAAAGAACAACTTTTAGAATAATCAGTTATATTTAAACAAGATACTACAGTACTTTATAGACATTTTATAAGCTCAGATAAATGATTTATATTCATATTTACAGTCCCTTTAACTGTAAAGAAACACTTATTAAAACAGCTGAAAATTATAAAATAAATACATTATTATAAAAAGTGAGAAACACGAAAAGCTAAATTTAACTGTTCAAAACATTTAAATTTTTACTTTTAACTCAACATTTACTTTTTAGGTTTATTGTTTACAAAATGATGCTACAACTTTATTAAGGTCAGTTTATTTTATTCCAAGTTTTAATCAGTGATTTTACCTTTGTCGAGTAGCCATTCGTCAACTACTCGACCGAGTCGGTATGGGATTCGCTGTCTAGCAAGCGCCAGGCGATCGTTATCAATGTTGCCTTTAAAGTTTAAAGAGACATTTCATTGGTTACAATCTGTAAGGTCAAAAGTTAGATGTTCATAGTTAAAGCTGGAGTTAAAGACTGCACAAAGTTAATTTAATATCTATTTATGAATTTAAAACACAATAATTACTGAGACATTAATTAAACAAACTTCACTCTTTTTATTTTATTTTAGCCAACCAGTTAGAGCTAGTTTATCAAAAATAAATCAACTATCAATTGCTTCATTTTAAGTGATAACACTATGTTATAAAGCCACCAAAATCACAAATTTAGACATATCCATTACAAAATTCTTCCCTTAAAATTATAAATTCTTTCCGTATCTTTTAAAATAACTTTTTTGACCAGCTACACCAAAGAATCATTTAATTTTATTATTGTGAAAACCTTTTATAGAATTGTTAACTTAACCTTTAGCAAATGTACACACCATTTAACAGAAGCCTATTTGACAATAAATATTTAACAGTTTGCCTTATTTAAACTAAAACAGATCAAAACAAGTGGTCAGAAGACAATGTCAATGTAAGTACATACACAATTAAACCTATAATAAAACGGCTTTGACAAAAGCAACAACTCGTGAAGTTTTGAGTTTAATTGGAATAATTATGTCAGAGAAATCTTCTTGGAAAATAAGCCAAATAAATGACAGAATCGCAGACGGCCATCTGCAGAAAAGCTGCACTCCAACATTGGAGGGACACTTTGGCTTTAATGAGGGTAAACTCTGCATCACCCTTTTGTCAAGGCCAATAACCTCTCAAAAACAGAAAACGTTCAGCAAAGTGGCACTGTCTCTGAGTGCTTTTCCCCTGGTATTGTCTGCTGAGATTGAATTCAGTCAGCTCTATTCTTCTGGCAGATTGACAATGTTTGTCCCATCAACTATATTAATTCAGTTCTGGCCGATAAAGGATCCTGTAGCTAACAATGAGTCAGTGGAGAATGGCCTCAGAGAGGAAAAGATGGCAAAGAAATGAACAGGGAAGGCTAACCTTGTAACAGATGCACGTTTGATCTGATGAAAGGTCTTGGAGGTAAGACGGCGCATAAAAAGACATTTTTAATCACATCAGCTTGAATTACTGCTGAGGATGAGCCACACAGAGAAAGGATTTAAAGCTTGTGTGTGCAGCTCGTCGTGTTTGGCTGCAGCTGATTGTGTCAGGCTGAAACACAACAGCTTGTGAGTGAAATTTAGTGGAGCACTTTTTCTCAACAAGGATTCAGAAAGATAAGTTTCCCATTCCAAGAAGGTCACACAAGAACATAGGGTAATAATTTCATTCATTAGCTAATGATAGAGCTGTTCCTAAGCAATGTCTAGGTTTGTGTTGTTAAAAAGAAACATATAGCCCTGGGCCTCTGTCATAAAAAATAAAATAATCTGTTTAATGCCTTTTTAGTCTACTCTAATAGCATTATTGTATTTTCTTTTTACTACCAATGCTGTAAAAAAAATAATAATAAAATAAACAGACAGCTATCCTACAGTAGTCATTTAAGTGTAAAACACAATCATCATGCAATGCATCCATCTGATACCAATAAATTTACCAGAGACGAGCTAAACATAAAAGGCCATCAGGGTGTCAAAACTGTTACCCCAAACATATTAGAGAGAGACTGTGTTTTTCAATCTAAATAATGTGGAGTTGTTTTTAGGAATTTAAAGTACATTGTTTTTTATTTGAAGTCTTTATGTGTTAGAGTCGGCGTTGGTATTGATGAAAATGTGCTTTTTTAAACCTTAATTTTCCTGTCTTCGAATAGACTACATTTTCATGGTAAATAGGCTAAATTAATAACATTCGAATGTATTGTTCATAGACTAAATACAAGAGTTGACCACCCTTCAAGAATCACAGAGTAAAGATATACAACCATCAAGGGTTTGGACCTTTTGGGCCTCGTGGAAGTTGCTATAACTATTAGAGAAAGAAACCAATGCTTCTTAACCTGAATCTAAGATAGAAAATTTTTGTTTGCCTGTATTATTACCAAACATACAGTGTGTTATTTTTATATGATGAAGTGAAACATAATAAAAAAAAACAACTCATGAGTGTAATCACTTTATACATGAACAACATTTTGCCCCTTTGTAGTGTCGGTCTTCCACAGGACATTTATTCCTTAAATTGTCTTTCTTTATTTAAATTGAAGATGTTTTTTTTTATCTGTTTTGATCATTTATTGTAATTGTTTTAGAATATACAAAAAGTTTTCTAAAAAGGTTTTGATCAGGGGTCATGACCTTATGTTTCTTTGGGGGCAACTGGCCCAAACCGGAATAAGAAACAATATGTTTACATTCATAAAATCTATTCATTTGACAGGAAACTAAAACATAAAAAGAAAAAAGTAATCCATATAAAGCATTAATTTGGGGCATAAAACAGCCCTCTTGATTGGAATACAATTTAATTCCAATTGAATTGAATCCAATCATAATATTCTGACTGTTTTCGTTATATTAAACATTTTTATTCAAATTGCCCATCTATTCTGAATAATAATGTCCTTGTAAACATAGCCACTAACTTCCATGTGTAAAATGAGGATACAAATTAGCAGTGTAGCAAACCTACTCTGAACCTCAAGGAACTGCTCATATAAGTAAAATAGCTTTTATAAAAGAAAGAAAATGAAAGGGTTGAATTTACAATATGGGCTTATAAGCCAGATGTAAAAAGTAATTTTGATTAATCTTCCACTTCTACTGTTTATGATGTTATATTTCAACAGTGTTAATGTAAACACTCTAAAAGGTGATAAAACTGTTTCTTAAACCGTTTGGTCTCAGAGGGATTTAATATACCATAAATAAAGTTTTAAGCATGTTCTAGTTTTCCCTCTGAATTTGATCAAAAGGAATGATTTCCTTTAAGAATTTTTTATTTAAATGTAAACCTTCATATGCTCCTAAAGTAACACATTTTCTTCGTATGCAGTATGTTCCCATCGATTATTTTGAATTACGTATAAAACTTCTACTTACTTTTAATACCATAAAATTTTCATTCAGCAGTATAAAAGAACTCCCACATTTTCCGCACATCTCAGAGCATTGCAAATGGTTTACTGAATAGTTTTCTACACAGATTATAGCTTGCATGATTCAGCATGGGTAAATAGTGCTTTTGTTGGGGGCAAATGTTTATGCAGTCAACACAGCTGTGCCTCTTGGTATTTTCATTAAAATGAACTGATGAATAATCCTTGATTGAGGATAGAATGGAACATTCATACGATTTGTTCATTCCCATCACCTCCATTTGCAGTCATGGGGTGTTAGTTATGTCACCTCTCCATTTCCTGCTGCATCACCTCATCTGAGAAGAGGTCAGAAGCAGATTGGCACTTTGAAGAAATGTTAGCCTACAGCTGATGAAAGGACAATGAGGACATATAAATATATAGTTAAAATGAGCTATAGTAAAAATTCATTCTCCTTCATATTTTCATCCTCAGTCCGTGTAGATTTATAAATAAATATGGTGTTCTAATTTGTTAGCTGTACAGTTTTTAAAAGCTTCAACTCAATCCAGCAGGTTTTCCGTGCAGTTGCAACTTATCAAAAATAATTATTAAGCAAATATTAGATGTTTTGTTGTTTTTTCAAAATAATAATAAATCAACCATTGAGAATGCCAGGTTCATAAAAGGATATGCTATACTGTATAGCCACAGTTTGCCAGGGTGCTAGAATCCCCTACATCTGAGAAAAACTATGCACCATTTTAAAAAGCTTATCTTTCTGGCTCTACATCCGATGGCAGGCTTGGTCTATCTCTATACCGAGGTTAATTAAGTGTGGATATAATCAAGGTCTGATCATGTATTGATCCGTACTCCAGGACCACAGGGTGTTAAACAATGCTATCCCCCGGGCTTTGTTGCAGCCTATTCATCGTGGCTGCAAGCAAAGCCTGTGACTGCTGTTAAGCGGTGATTTGGTTTCGTGTGGGACAGCGTGTCTTATCTCCACTGCCAGACAGCAGCGTTTCAGCTGAGCTGTCCCACCCAACCCTCTATGCCCTGACTTTTTTTTTTTTTTTGTTAATGGAGTGGTCAGATAAGGCAGCAACTTTATCTGCAAAGCAGCCTAACAATCATGGTGTAAAATAAGCAAATATGTCAAAACGTAAGCTGTTCATGAGATGAGGGCAATTAAAAGGTTTCTATAAATGTCAGTTTAATTTTCATATTATTCTGATGGATGAAAGGAATTATAGATTAGTTGCTGGATTCTTGGATGACTTATAGATGGCTAACATAATTTGGCGCATCCTCCTGTTGTAAAACAGCTATGATACAGTTTTTATAGAAATCTGGAATCTTCTAGGTTAGTTTAAAGTCTAAAAAAAATGGAGTAGTTATATCAGAACCTGATTATTCTACACCAAACATGTATTCTTTAAACCACAGTCTGAGTTTTATGAAAACTTTGCTCCCTCTGTGGAAAAAAAAAAGTCAACCTTGAATTTAACAAGAGAAGATCAAGACAGGAATTTGTCTTTTTCTGGAATTGATTATTCTACACTTGCTACAGATTATTCAAATACAAGTTTGACTTGTATAAAACAGATATTTCAGTTTTTCAAAAATAATTTTTTAAATCTTGGTTTCTATGAACCCAATATTGCATGTCTTGTGAACTGATTGCATCTCTATTTTACAGCCGTCATTCAATTGTGTAACTGATAGCGACTGAACAGTTCTAAAGCATGCTCTGTGACGACTTCTAAGACAAGAGGCATGGGTTTATTTTTTGACTCAGGAAGAAAATGAGCACAGATAGGTGGTTTATGATGGCTACATCTTACAACCATTCCTTCCCCTTATAGCAGACACCAGACCACACAGTGAAAAAACTGTGGGTGGGATCAACGTACATGTGTGTGTGTGTGTTTGGGGAGCAGACAGAGGTAAAAAGGGCAGAAAAAAAAGCAGAAAGTGGGAGCTAAAGAGAAAAGAAGACAGAGAGCTCTGTAAGTGCACCATGCTCTGATAACAGTAAAGGAATAAGGCCAGGGACTTCTCCATTATCTTTGTGTGCAGTGCGTGTTCATTGGGTGCTTCGATAGGATACTGCATTGTACCCTGTGGGTTTGGCAGCACAATTGTGATGGTATTACTTCCATGGCCAAGGCTCAGGAGAATGAACAGATTTTCTTTCTGCTGCATAGCCCTATTGTACGGAGAAAAAAAAGCAAGAAGGCCTATACTACAACAAACAGGGGACTACTTATGTGTGTGATTGCACATATAACATTTTACATTCTCGTAATTGTACTAAAGACTTTTATTAGCCTTTAAGCATCTAGTACAAGACTTTTTAATGAGATTATGAGGGCAGCCGTTGTGGGTCTGCCGAAGCAATTATTTCCTTGTTTTGAGAGTGATAGTAATCCATCCCCAAGCGCAAACTCCTCCCCTCACCTTCTCACTTTCCAGTCACTTTTTTATCTTTACAGTCTTCATTTATTACAATCAGAATTGATCTGTGAGTGGCCTAAAAGGCTGGGGGTTGAGATTATGAGTATGTTAGAAGGATACATTGATACTAATCAAACTACAGGCGATCTGACAGAATGATAGTTCTGTGTGCAGGGTAAGAGGGGAGGACAATGTCATAATGGTGATTAGATGTAATTAGTTCACAACAGGCTTAATAATGTAGCCTGACTGGGCATCATCAGTAAAGTGTGTTTGGTAGGAATAAGGTTGATCAATTTGTCCAGGGGCATTTACAATCTATCACATGGCATAAATGGATAATAACTGTGAGAGAATGTTGACCTAAATTATTGATTAGTCAAATACTACAAAGATATTTCTTAAGTTAATAAATCGTCATGTTCCCTTCAAAATTAATGTGAAGTTATACCAAAACATTTACACTCTCATTACTGGGATTAGAGTGCACAGGTTTTAGACGTAAGGAATTGTGAAGTTATTTGTAATATTTATATATATTTTTACTAATGATATGCAAACATCGTTTTCACAAGACAATGTTGTTTTATTTATTGTCAGTAAATTGACACTAATGCACTAAAAGGATATATGTCTGAAGGTCTCTTTATGTAACATGCTCATGATATGCCATTGTGGACATTTTAAAAAGAAACATATTTATCCGATTTATGTGTCTATAGTCTTTGAAATTTTAATCCAAAATGCTATGATAATCATTCCATTTTAGTGAGTGAGAATTATTTCAATACTACAGACATCAACATTAGCAATAAGATTCTGAGTATGCCAAAGTTCTAGCTAAAGATTTTTCATCTTCGTTTCTATTAACTAATTTAACTTATTGAGCTTAGATCTGTATCAGGATAGTACAGATCAAATGCTGTGGTATGTAGCACCAAAAACTAATTTTGTATAGAGGAGAGATGCAAACACAGCACATAATTAGATTTTTGTAAAATATCTATTACCTCATTTTGGCCTCATTAGCATAAACTTCAAATGAAATATGCAAATGGTGCAGTAAACCTTTTGATTTCTTTTGTGCAGATGCATCAATAATGACACAATGTAAACATTTTTCAGTTATATATGTTTTTAATAGCTGAAATCAGCTAAAATTCAGAGTTTTGTGTCACTGTCAACATTTTATTGCTCCAAGGATTTCTGAACAAACTCTGATCTCTGTTTTAAATAGGTGAGTGAACTACAGTATGTCAAATAATGCTTAAGAGAACCTTATTTAAAGGGGAGCAAAGTAATACTTAAAATGTTCTTTAGCGTAGGCTGTATTCAGTCTTAATTCTTTCACCTTCCATACACTTTTAAATATGTTTGGGTTTAAAGTGGTAATATTACAACCTAGACAGGTCACAAGCCCAAGATTGGGTGACGATGCATGCACATTCAGTACTGACACTTACTTTGAGTTAACAGTCACCATCTACCTGACATTCTTGTTTTTGAACCATGGGAGGCAGCTGGTTTATCTCCAGGGAGCCTATGCATGTTGAGAATGTGTAAACTCCTCACAGAATGATCCCAGTTAAGATTTAAACTGGCAACCTTCTTGCTGTGAGGCAACAGTGCTAACCACAGGAGTCACCTTATAGCACGCATGTTTAAATGTAGAGGGTGAAGCATGAATGCATTTAAATCTGCTTCACATCCTGTCATAACCACGTCAAAAGCTTACGGTTCCATTTTCCGACCTCAGGCAAATGGAGGTTTTGGTCGCAGTCATACAAGCATCTATCATTTAGACGAATGCACAATTCTCAGCTGAAAGTCAAATAAAGAGTATGAAGGAAAGAGACAAGTTGTTTGCCGTCTGTTTTCTAGCATTAAAATTTTATGCATTTTCAGAACTTAACAAATGTGGTAGTGCAGCTTTTCTTTTTCTGGAGCAACAGCTCGTACCTTCAGGAATAGTTAGATTTGCATTTAGATCAAATACTTTAACAAGTCATAAGCTCTCTTTAGCTTTTGCCAAAGCCTTACAGCAGGTAAAAAATGTTGAATTTCAAAAACATACTGTAGATAATAGAATTAGAAATCAAATACCTGACATTTCAAGACCTTAAATTAACATACCAGTGTTGCTGAGTTTTAGTGGTTTACCAGCAGACTGCTGCATATTTTTTACCATAAATATAGTAGCACAGAGTACTCTAATTATTGAATTGTTGATGTGTTGAACCTACCATTCTCTCAATACTTCCCAGCTGTTACAAAGTCGGCAAAGACTGCGTTTATCTTCCGCTGTCATTTAAAGTGCTTTTCTAGAAAAGCACTACAGAAATATGATTATGGTGAGCACTAATGTTTACAAAAAAATTATGCCGCTTTGTTTTTGTGCAAATCATTTTGGATTATGCTTTCAAAATGATGAATATATATATATAATAACATTTTTATTCAAAAGATTGTCTATAAAGTCAGCTGATCATCTAAATTACACCAGGAGCACATTTACTTTGACTATGTAGCTTTATTCATTCCAAACTAATCAAGAAATCTAACAATGAATAAATCAATCTATCAATCAAATGTAATGATAAAAAATCCATCAAAAGAAACACAGTAACCTTTTTTTTTTTTTTTGGTAAAGTGTTGATTTGTCAGAAAATAGTGTAGTGATCTGATCTCCTTATGTGGGTGGATTGAAATAGTCTAATAAAACCATGAAGATAGTGTGGTTGCCTTTCCTTCATGATTATGTGATTCCCAGCAGGTTAAAAATAGAAGAATGCACATTTTATTGTAATTTTTATTTTGTAAATGTCATTTAACAGTATTATCTCTACCATATTCAAGTAAAAAAAACTCAGAAACACTGGTAGGATTCCAAATAGCTATTAAAAGGAGAAAGATAAAAAGCAATTTAAGCCCATGCCAGGTTATCATCAAGAAATCCTTAACAGATAAAACCTGGTTGCTTAATAACATTAGGGTAATTTCATCTCCTGCAGGCAGCCCGTATACAGTTGTACACAAAAGCAGTAGGACTCACCTGTGGGGTAGCGCTCAATGACTGGCAGGTCATCCACCTGCAGAGTGGCATTACCCCCACTCCTTGTAAACTTCACTATATGGTATTTTCCATCATTTACAAATTTTGACGTCTCCTCAATGTTTATGTCATCTGTTCCCACATTAAATACTACAGCAATGTTTCCTTTTTCCTGAAAGATAAAAAGAACAGACAACAAAAACATGTTTTAGTAATGATGCATTATTACTGTGCACACAGTTATTATGTTATAGTTATGTGTAAGGTTAAGGATCTGAGGCAGTTGTACTTATCACAATCAAAAGTAACCCAAGGAAGGAGCACTGATGAACAAACCAACAAGTCATGGGTGGACAGAGTTCACTGTTGATCATGTTGAGCAAAAGCTTCACTATGTCTTCAAATTCAACAAATAAGCAACTGGTTCTGAAAATACAGTTTCAGGAAACACCCTGCCAGGCAGCATGTTGGGTACTGGACCATATACCAATAAGGATGTTCATGCTAGTCATAGCTGTCTGCCTGATGAGTAACAAGATAGCAAATAATTGTGGTATAGTTTCAAATGATAGATACAGTAGGTTGCTTTTCAAGGTTTTCCTAAAATTTCTAAGAACAGATGGCTGTAATGAGATTTTGATAATCCATACTAATTTATGTCTATAGTATGCTTTATTTTAAAAATTCTTATATTGAAATAAAGGGAGTATTTTTTTTTTTTTTGTTGGTCTGTAGTGCTAACAGAAATGACTAATAAGGACTGCTTGTCAGCTATCTGACAGCACTCGGTTACATAAGCCTTGAAAAAGCCTCCACCACTTTCAAATAGTTTGCTTGACAGCATTTTGTGTACCTGCTAGAAAGAAAAAAAGAAAAGGAGAAAAAAACGACAGTGACAGACAAGAGAAGAATGATCTGCAAGCATGGTAAGAATACTGTTATTGAACAGATGTTAGCCACATACAACACTGAAGTAGGCATCTGCTTAGAAGCTACCTTCCTGCCTTCCATCTGCAATACCTTAAAGGGTTACTTCAAGATTTTCCATCAAAAATCACAGTTGTATATATGACCTTTACTGATATACACTCTTTAACCTAGTTCAACTTCAGGTATACACTGATGAGACCCAATGTAAATTCAATCGAAAGACAAAAAAGGGCTTATTTTTGACAAATTTGCAGTATTAATAATCGAATAGCAAAAGGTTCCTGAAAGAAGACTTTTTCCTAAATTGAACCAGAGCATATTGAGAGGCGTAAAACATTTTTTAGTCACTGCAGTGGATGAGTGGCTACTGTATATTTGAATCAGTAAGTAAAACACTGGTAATATTTGTTTAGTGTAATTAAATTAGTTTCCATCCATCCATCCATCCATCCATCCATCCATCCATCCATCCATCCATCCATCCATCCATCNCCATCCATCCATCCATCCATCCATCCATCCATCCATCCATCCATCCATCCATCCATCCATCCATCCATCCATCCATCCATCCATCCATCCATCTTCTCCCACATAGACCTTGTCAGGGTCGTGGTGGAGCGGTACCTATCCCTGGCAGTCTATGGGAAAGAGGCAGGGTACACCCTTGACAGTTCTCCACTGTCACAGGGCAACACAGAGACACATAAAGACCCACAACAATGCACACACAGTCACACCTAAGGACAATTTTAGGGAAGCTACTTAACCTTACAGTCATGTTTTTGGACTGTGGGAGGAAGCCGGTGTACCCGGAGGGAACCCACACATGCTCTGGGAGAACATGCCAACTCCATGCATTAAGACCCTGGGCTAAGAATTGAATCCAGAAAGTTCTTGTGGCAAGGCAGCAGTGCTACCCACTGTGCAACCTTTTCAAAAATAAATACATTTATGGATTGATATGTAAATATGTATTAATAATGAATGGATTGTTTAATGTTGTGTCTCAATTTCTTTTGCAGTCAGAGTCATTACCCTGCTTATTATGCTTTCTACTTGTAAAAAAATAAATTAAGTGAATTATATGGCTAACATTAACATTACCTTCAAAGCCCTTCAGTGTGAAGTTGCCATCTGGCAGCCCGTTTCACTATAAACATAAATAATCCTCTTAACTGTGTCTTCATAGGACACAAGTCAATCTGCGAAGTTTTTTAGGCTATTTAAGTTGTAATGAATGCCGCATTCATTACACAGACTGCATAAATTCTAACTATTGAGAAATTACATAAAAAACTTGGAGGTTTAGGAGTCTTCTTATCCACAGTCTCCTTCACATAATGAGTATTAGCTTTAATAAGCTCCCTTTACAGTACATGATCGAAGCGCTGCAATCCTCCTGTTTAATCCGTTGAAGACGAGTACGTATGTTAGTGGAGCCTACTGCTCTTGCTACTTATGAGCTGTAGTGAAAGTAGCATCTGGTCGGAGGCTCAGCCTAGTATAGCAGCACAGCACTTTGCATGTCATTATCCAGTCAGCACAGCCAATATGCTGCCACCTCCCCATCTCTCTTTCCAACTCTGCCATGTGTATAAACCAACTATTTTTCTGAGTTTATGCACGCACTGAAACCCCAGCCTCTTGAGGTGCACAGAGAGTCAACTGTGTCAGAACAGCCAGAAGCCACAGAGCAATTAAAGCCATTTGTAATATGTCACACTATGCTACCAAAACTAGGACAATCGTATGCTGTGTAATGTAATTTCAACAGATTACATAATCTGATCCAGTAAAGCTACACTGCTCACATAATGTCTTCACAGATTGCAGGCCTTATCAAAAAGTAAATACATACAACAGCTATAGTCAGATTTTTTGTCATGACCAAGAGTTAATCTACTGAAAATTTAGCTGTTTTCATAGTTAAACCATGTCATTCACAAGATGCAATCTTCCACCATAAAACATCACATAAATCTCCCTCTTACTCGGCAGCAGAAAAGCAGAAAAGAAGGGCAGACGCCATGAGCATATGTCTATTCAGAATTTACAGTGAGCTGTTTTTTTACACAATGTTCTGATATTTGGAGACCAAGAAAATTAGCTGAAAAACATTAAACCTCTGAGATTTTATAAAAGAACTTTCTTTCAAGGACTAGCGGATACTGAACAAATTAATTCAGAACTTTTTATGACTATTGCTCTTAGAAAAAAAGAGACAGGGAAAAAAAAAAGAGTTTCAGCCAAGGCACTAACCCAATTAAAATCCTGCTTTTAATAGCCTCCTTCAATTGACTTTTAATGTTCCCTGCGGTCTTGTTAATAAATTTACTGCATTTAGTCACAAACTGCCAACTTGAATTTTCAAAGCATAAAGAGTGCCTCAGTGTTGGGATAGAAAGAGATGGAGAGCTAGATAAAAAACAGTAGAAAGGCATTTAGAGATAAGATATAAGAAACTCAAATCAAAACAACAAAAGTAATTAGACTCCATGAAGTTCTTGATACATTTTCTGTAAAAACCATAAATTTAAATGCATTTTATTGAGATGTTGTTTAAAAGAGCCCTGTCAGAAAGTATGACTTTACACATTTCAATGCCAGTGGCTCAGTCTAGTTAAATACAAAGGATCTTCTGACTAAATTATGTTGGCCTGTTGGCTTATTTCTTTTCATTACAGATTGTGATTAGTCAATTTTTTAGTAAACTTAAGGGTTTCAATTCATCCATCCATCCATTTTTTGTCACGCTTATCCCAGCATGGGTTGTGAGGGGTGCTGGTGCCTATCTCCAGCTGTCTACGGGCGAGAGGCGGGGTACACCCTGGACAGGTCGCCAAGGGCTGGGTTTCAATTCAATTCAAAATTACTTTATTGAACACAAAGGTAAAAATACTAATACTTTAGTAACTCATACACATTTTTTTTAACAAGTTATTATATGTGTCGAAAGCCGTAGGCAGGAAGGATCTTCTTTAGCCGGATCTGGAGAAGCACTTGACATTGACACTGATGATGTTCAACAGTCTCCTTAGGACGATGCTTATGGTTTTCAATAATGTTACACATCTTATTAAGAATTCTTCTTTGTGAAATTGTGTCCAGAAGAGTTTTTACAACGGATTTGAACCTTTTTATCAGCTTTTAGGCTTCTTGAAGCCATTTGCTCCGATGCTGATGCTGTAACAGTTGGTGGCACAATGCATTTGAACTTCAAGATGTACTGTTTTGTTGCTAAGTAAGTATAGGGCCATGTTGTAGGATACATTCTGATTCTGATTTCTGATTCTTATATGATATAAGACAATAAAACTGCCACTACATCTTGAAGTTCAAGTATGAGTCTCAGCAATAAATAAAGTCTCTAATGCTGTAGAATATAAATGTCTGGCTCGCTTGCCAAATATGGAAGCAGTTGTACTGCGTTATGTCGTCCTGTTTCTGACCTTATGCTCACTTAGCAACACAGAGAATGCAAGATGTAAACAGGGAGTCTACAAGCTGGGAGTCATGTACGAATCTTGGCAAAAACAGGGTGCTTACTGGCTGACTCGCACGCAATCAGGTCATAGGCTAAGAGATTTCCAGGAAGAGTGTCCAGTCGTGCACGTGCATCCACACAGTGCGATGTAGAGCCTATAAATGCCGCCCACAATGGATTGGAGGTTAGGGGAAAATTACAGATGTGATGACATAGCGCTGAATGTATGAAGTGTTTAAGACAGCTGTATGAATTCGGTTTTGTAAATAAATGTTCCCCCCTCTGGATGACGATTTGTGAATCGAGGCCTTCTTTCTGTCATAAGAGAATTCTACCAATGAGCTTCCACAAGATCACTCTCTTACAGTAACAACAAACCTATAGCAGATAAGCAGTATCTTGTTGCAAACACTAAATAACCTATGCTTTCTCAAAAAGGTGTCTGGTCTATCTATTCAAATTTTCCCCCCCAGTTGAGTGTGTTGTCCAGATTAACATCAATGTATTTGTACTACTCAACCACCTTTATTTCTTATCCCATGATGTTTATAGTATTTTAATATTCCTTGTTTGTTCTGAAATCTACAATCATCTCCCTTGTCTCGCTGACATTAAGGATCAGATTAATGTTTTCACACCATGCCACAAAGCCCCAACGCCCTGTAGCTTCTTGACCATCTCTGATGGACCCAATGACTCCTCTGTTATCATAGTATATCTGTAGATGTCAGCACTCTCTCTTTTACTGGTTAGAC